TTGGATTTTGGTTTGGCCAAATTTGGGTGAAAGTTGGAGAGTGTTTTGGTGGGATTTCTCTTTAGTTTGTGGAATACGACAAGTGATTCTTAAACTTCCGCACCAAATAGCGAATCCCATTTCGTTTGTTACGACTTCTTAGACCGCCATCACAGCGTCGTTCGATTCAGAATGGGTAAGTGCATGTGAGTACGTTTCATTTTTTTTTTTTTTTTCATTTTCCAAAGTTTTTTATTTTCAAATTTTGCAACATTTTAGTTCAAAATTCCCATCAATTTTCAGTACTTTCACTTTTCAGAAATATCAACAAAAAAATTCAACAAAAACCACGCATGGCGTATAAGCACGGGCAAACCAACGCTTCACTTACACACGCACGCACACATTGCGTGTGATAGGTGTAGAACTTTTTGCAGTCAAGCCATGTTATTTCAGCATCGGCTGCCCTACTTTAAAACTTCCAAGAAATATACCTAAAAGAATTGCAAACTAAACTGACAACAATAACAATAACAGTAATAAAAACACCAAATAACGACTAAAAATATGATAAAATTTAACAGAAATGTATGTTAATCAATAGGCAAGCCCATATCGGCCAGACTCCACAAACTGAACGAACCAGACTACATGGCAAAAATATTCCGAGAGACATGTACCTGGTCAACCTTCACCTACGAAAGAACGGAGGAACCAATCCAATGGATCTATTTCTATTTCATGAGTGAGATGACGATGATGATGGATGAGGAGAATGGTGATGATGATGACGATGATGAGGATGGTGACGACGACGACGATGATGATGATGATTGTGCTGCTACAGTTGATGATGACGATAATGATGATGGCTGTAATGATGATCATGAAAATTATAGCATCTAAAATGAAATTAAAAAAAAAGTTATAAAAAGTTATAATGATAACGTTTGTTATAACAAAATCGATTTCAAGTGAACCCCCCAAGTCCCGTGGCATGCCCTATAGGGGGTAGATATAGATTTACCCAGGAGGGCAGTCTCGAAGAATGGTACAAGACTGAGGTCAGGGGAATAACAGAAAGGCCCCGACACACTATTGATTGCAAGGAGGAAGAGAGCGAGTTGAAATCATGCGATGCCAACCCGTCCAAACTGAGTATTGATGTTTCTTACTGTGCCTCGCTTGATCATACCGGTAGACCCATTGGGGAATATGGTGCGTTTGGGGGATTTTTGGGGTTTTTTTTGGTTAGTTGGTTGGGTGGTTGTTCGGCTTGTTAGTTGGTTGGTTGGTTTGCCGGTTGGTTGGATGGCTGGTTTGTTGTTCGTTCGTTCGTTCGTTCGTTCGTTCGTTTTTTGTTTGCATGTTTGTATATTTTTTTTGTGTTTTAATTTATTTAGTTGCAATTTTCAATAATCAATCAGCACTTACTTATTATTGCGATCAACCAATCAACGAGCAGATGTCCCAGACAGAGAACTAATCTGCGTAGGTCATTGGATGGAAAACATGAAATCATACATGCTCACCTACGATTGGCTAGATCCTGTTTCTAATTTTAGATGCTGGGTGGGTTAGGTGATTGGCTGACAAGATGATGAAATTTTGATTAAGAGCAGAACTGCAACAGCAATGATAAAAATAACGATGATAATGTCGATGAAATAAAAGCAGACAAAAAACAAAACAAAAGATACCAAATAACAAAAGAGACTAAATAACCAAAGGTATACGAGAGAACCGGATGGCGGGAAATTCACATGTCAAGGTCATCGTCCGCCCACTGTGACGTCAAACAGACTGCCATGAGCAACAGCCCGGATGAAGGGAGCAGTCTGAAGTTGGTTCTTGTGGAAAGCGAGAGGCTGTGTAAGTAATGATGACGATGATGACGATGATGATGGTGGTGGTGGGGTAGTGATGGTGATGATGATGATGGTGGTGGGGTGGTGATGATAAAAACGGCGACGATGATGATGGTGGTGGTGAGGACGGTGTTGATGATGATGAGGAAGAAGAGGATGACAATGCTGAGGGTAATGACCCAAACGCCAACCAATCACAGACGACGAATGTAGCCAAAGATACGATAATGGCATGGACCCGTGGAAACCCGTCCTAGAAGTTTTAGTCCTCGATCAACGATCATCATCATCCTCTTACTCATCATCATCATCATCAACGTCGTATTTATTATTATTTTTGTTATTAGTATTATTCATAATGACGTCATCGTCACCGTCCTCATCACCATCGCTACATTCAATACTGATATTGTTTTTATTATTATTATTATTTACAAAGTTATCATTTTCATCACTACCATCATTTTTAACGCTCTTATTATTATTATTATTATTCCAGATGTTTTTATCATCATCATCATCATCATCGATATTTATATTATTCGCGTTGTTATTATTATTATTATTATTATTATGGTTATTATTATTATTATTATTATTATTCACATTAAAAATGACGTCACTACTAAATGACTACTCTTTCCACACCGTCACCGTTATGACTAATGCATGCAACTAATAACACACACACACACACACACACACACACACACACACACACACACACACACACACACACACACACACACACTCACATACACACAAACATACATATATTTATACATACATACTTGTATATTTTTTACATGAATTTATATATGTATATATATATATATATATATATATATACATTTTATCACTCATGATGTCAATAAATGTTTGTGTGTTTGTGTGTTTGTTTGTATTTGTGTGTATGTATGCATGTATGTGTATGTACGTATGGGTTGGTGTATGTAGCAAAACAAACTGTACAAAGGTAATGTTGAAGCAAAATTTTGTACATTAGTAATCGTAGTATATTTAATATATTTTAGAGAGAGAGAGAGAGAGAAAGAGAGTGAGAAATAGAGAGACAGAAAACTGAAAGAAGAAAGCATATGTAAGAAAGCAGAGTGGATTGCATATTTTTATATCTTTTGGTATGTTTGATCTAAATGTTTGTGTCAGGGTTTGTGTATATATGTCTTTGTATAATTCTTTATATTTGTTTGTATGCTTGTGAGTTTGTTGTATGTATGTTGTTTGTTGAATATCATGATTGCAATTTTGAATGTGATTCTTTGCCTAACAGTCAGCCAGTGCAGGCTCAATAGACTATGACTCACATGACCAAACCTTAATCCACTAGTAACTATTTTAGCCGCTCGATTTTGAATTGACTGCAGTTGGTATATGATTTTGTTGAGAGTACCATAAAAAACACTATTACAGTAGTCTAGCTTAGAATGAATAAACCCGTGAGTTATAGTTTAGACATTTCAATGTATCCTCATCATGCGAATTTCTGATCTTTCTGAGTCTTCTTGGTTGAAATGAACATTCCTTGTTCAACTTTTTGATGCGATGATCCAAACACATATTTTGATCGAGCGTGATTCTCAAAACCGAACAAAACTGGATAACTGATCGATATATGCCGATAGAATTGACACGAATCATCTGCAATTGTCTCCTGGTTCCGACAAGCAGAAGCTGAGTTTTACCGTTGTATTCTACCAAGCAAATACGATTCGAACCACCTCTCAACCACCCCTGAAATTTATGTATGTATGTATGTGTGTGTGTGTGTGTGTGTACGTACGTACGTACGTACGTACGTACGTATGTATGTATGTATGTATGTATGTATGTATGTATGTATGTATGTATGTATGTATGTATGTATGTATGTATGTATGTATGTATGTATGTATGTGTGTATGTATGTATGTATGTGTGTATGTGAGTTGTTTGTTTGTGTGTGTGTGTGTGTGTGTGTGTGTGTGTGTGTGTGTGTGTGTGTGTGTGTGTGTGTACATTTATATGTATGTCCGTATGTAGGTTTAAATGTATGTGCAAATTTTTTTTATATTTCTCGTTTCAATATCTGTACGTAGAAAATAGAAGATTTAGAAAGATTATTCATTTAGGAAGTATTAGTTAAATTATTATTGTTATTATTATTATTATTATTATTACCACCATTTATTTTTATTTTCCAATTTATTTCATGCTAATTATATTCTGATAAACGACCGTTGTATTGTTTTTATTTTAATTTAAATCTTGAAAAAATCCGTATTTGTATGTGTGTGTTTATTTGTGTGTGTGTATGTTTGTGTGTGTGTGTTTGTGTGTGTGTGTTTGAGTTTATCTATTATCTTACACCTATAATTGATCTTATTAAAAAAATTAT